CTAAATCTTTGGATACCTTCTTCTACAGTATACCAAGGCAGATCTGGCACTTCAATTTGGTTTAGTGTAGGCCACCTATTAATCCATGCTTCAGCAACCCAACCAAACAATTAGATCCTTTCCTAACTTCAAAAGCTGAAACACTGAATGAAGAATCTGTGCTTAGTGGACCCATATCAATAACCTCAGACTGACACATCTTTATGTTCCTTGCACCATTATCCCACACCCTTAATAGCCATTCCCATACATATTCCCCAAGTTTCTGTTTGTACATATTAGAAAAGTCAAGTAGTTCTTTTGGAGTGTAGTGTACCTCCTCCTGGGTCACATTATGTACTTCACCTTTTGGGGCTCGCTGGGACTTAAGTCTAATTATAGGTCTAGAAGCCAGAATCGGTAGTGTGGAATTGTTTTGAGAACATTCAGCATTGTCTTGTAAAGCATCTGCTCTGGAGAGCTGAGTGCCTGTGTGCAGGAGGCTTCCTGGTGGAGTGGGATGCCTCCAGGCACTTACTGGTGGAACTACAGAACTTTGAAACACTTGCCCCAGCAGGGTAGATGTGGGCATGGGGCCCGAGGAGCCAAGAGGCCAAGAAACCAGGAAACAGAAGCTGAAGAGACAAGAGACACAAGAAGCCGAGCTACCTCAGTCTCCAAAGGTATGACCCTGACCTCAGGGGTTTCAAAGGGTGGAGCTATGACCTCTGATGTTTCTAAGGGTGGAGTTGCCACTTAGATGTACTAGGAGAATGGTGTGCCTAAAGCTGAGGGAGCAGAGTTGCTGTCTCTGTGGGCCTGGAAGGCAGAACTGAAGCCCAGGGCTGAAGGGCCTTCACTCAGAATCAGGAGAGTGTGGCCAATATCTAGAGTCTGGAGGGCAGGGCCATTGTGTAAATTGCCTCAGAGAACAGAAGATTATTTTCAAAGTTTTGAGAGCTAACTTAATGTGTTCTGCTGACTTGCTTGGTGCCTGTTATCCCTTCTTTTCCTCCAGTTTCTCCCATTTGTAATGGAAATGTCTAGCTTATGCCTGTTCTGTGGTTTTACCTTTGGAAGCAGATAACATGTATTCTAGATTTCACAGATGAAGAGGAATTTTTGGATTTTGTACTTGGAGTTAAGACTTTTGCATTGGTATGATGGAATGAATATGTTTTGCACATTGCAAGGATGTGATTTTTTGGGGGCCAAAGGGTGGAATGTCATGGATTGAATTATGTCTCTCAAAAACTGTGTGTATCTGTTTGGCTAGGCCATGATTCCCAGTATTGTGTGGTTGTCCTCCATTTTGTGATTGTAATTTTATATTAAAGAGGATTAGGGTGGGATTGTAACACCCTTACCCAGGTCACATCCCTGATCCAATGTAAACAGAGTTTCCCTGGAGTGTGGTCTGCACCACATTTTAGCTCTCAAGAGATAAAAAGGAAAGGGAAGTGAGCAGAGGGGAGACCTCATACCACCAAGAAAGCAGTGCCAGGAGAAGAGTGGGTCCTTTGGATCCAGGGTTCCCTGCAAGGAGAAGCTCCTAGTCCGGGGGAGATTGATGAGAAAGCCAACAGAGAGAGAAAGCCTTTCCCTGGAGCTGACACCCTGAATTTGCACTTTTAGCCTACTTGATTGTGAGGAAATAAACTTCTCTTTGTTAAAGCCATCCACTTGTGGTATTTCTGTTCTAGCAGCATTAGATGACTAAGACAGATGCTATCAGTCGCAATTGATGGCAGAGGGGTTAGGTTTGGCTTGGTTTTTGGAAATATATATATGGAAACCCTGGTGGTGTTGTGGTTAAGAGTTCTGTACATATAAATACATATACATACATACATATACATATATACATATACACATGTACACACACGTATAACTATTTCTGTAATTGGCCATTTGACCTTGTATATTACCATCTGGAGATATCAAAATCTAATCTCCCAAGAGTCTTCCCCAAAGAACATTTCTATTTAGCCTCATAAAAGAATCTCCTTGTTTCCCCGCTTGGAGAGCTCATCATAAAGGTACTAAGATGGCACGTGACCACCTTTTTGTTCTGAAAAGGTGATTAAGTTCTTTTCCATATTTCCTGTATCCCTCTTCCTAGTATGGCTTATGCAGTCCCAGAGCCCCAGTAGAGACTGGATTGAGATTGGGTGGGAGAACCTATAGGGAAGGGAATGTGAAAACAAGCCTTGGGTTGAAGATAAAAGGAATATGATGAAATAAGGGATATAGGGAAATTGAACTTTGTCAGTACTGCCAGGTCCTCCTGTCCGCATCCTGCTCCTATCTGGAGATTGTATCTCCTGTTTCTTGCAGCCATTTGAGCAAGCTCCCTTTTAAAAGCAGCTGTTGGCAACTCTTGCAGCAAGATCTCTGCTTTAGCAATGGTGGAAGCTGGCATTCTGCTGTGTGGAGATCTTGTGGAGGATGTTTTTCCCTTTTTGTCCCCTTTGACTTCCACACCTCCTTGGCTTGGGCCTTCACTACCTGGGGTATCCACTTCCTCAGCAGACATTCCAGAGGTCCAATTACCAATCCTCCTGCTTAGAATTCTCTAGTTTTGACGTTTTTGTCGCCTTCTTGTCTTCAGTACCTCACAGAGATCCATCTTTCCTCATTGGTTCTCATCTACATTCTGACCTTTTCTCCCTCAGTATCTCCATTTTTCTCATTTACTCTAATTTCACATTGGGTCCTGCTCCCTTTACACTCCTTTAATCACATCATTGGCCTTGTCTCTACCTCCAGAGGCCACTCTGACACTGGCCTGTAATTTTTACTGACCTGTTTTCTCTTGCCCCACCCATGATCTTATATCATCTACCTTCAAGTCCTCCTGGCCATTGGTTTTCCCTCTTCCTTCATGTGTCCTTTTCCACCCTCATAATTGAGTTTCTCATATTTGTCACCAGAGTCCTTTCTGCCACTAGGATCCTAGCTGCCCCCAGCTTCCCTCTGGCTTTCTCTCACCACTGGGCTTCTCTGTGCTAGCAAAGCCTTTTCTGTGACTAGAAAAGGACTGTCCTCCATCACTTGTCTTTTCCACTATTTCCCTGGAGTATACATAGGTGAAAGGTCTTTTTTTGCAAACAGATCTTCCTTTGTCTCTGGAATCTACTCTGCATCTGACCACATCTTATCTCAGTATATTATCCTTTTACCAGACTTGGTTTCTCAATTGATCCCACTGGTTCATTTAACTTTTATGTACTACCACCAACCTCTCTACTCCACCACTCCCAGACATCACTTTGTCTCTGACTCAGGTGACTTGATTCCAATCCTATTGAATGCTATCCCAGATCACTGGTCTCCAGATAACTTCTGTTGGTTGAAGTCTAATTTTCCAAAAGACTTGAACATTGATTGCCTATTTTAAGTATCTCCTGGTGGCTGATATCTGCAGAAGACTTGTTCTACCCCTCTTGCTCAAACTTTGATGTCCAGCAAGAGATTTATTCTCTTCACCCGTCAGAGGGCTGTCTCTGGGAAGACCCTACATCTAAGCATGTGGATACTGGTAGCCTTTCTCTCCTCAGCACTGAAGTCAGGGAATTCCTGGAGACACATGCCAAAAAGAGAGTGGATTTCTAAATTTGAGAGGAGAAAGAAAATAGGAGGGACTATTTGTAAAACATTTAAGGCAAGAAGACAAAATTGTTTCTTCTGGGACCACTCTAGAATCATTTTCTGGTGAACGGGACAAAACAGCCCCGATGGCCTTTTGTAGCACTGAGCAAGGGTTAGACCTACTAGGATTTTCTAGGCCATGCTATAGATCTGGTGTTATTCTAAGGAAGATATTTAGGTGTTTTAAATAGGAGTGTTGTCAGAATATGTTTTGAAAATAGATATGATTGAAATGGAATAAGAGTGTAAGACCTTGTTTTTGCAGTTATTTACGTACTTTGTATTAAGATCATAGAAGTGGTGATGGAGAGAAGAGGAGAAATTTGAGAGATATTAAAAAAAAAAAAAAACAAGATTCAGTGATGTGAGGGGAAGAGTGGGGAACAGACTAGAGATGTGGAGAGAGAGTGGTGTCAACATGACAGCTAGGTTTAGAGATTACAAATTTTCTTGGATGGCCCTGCCATTTATTGAGATATGAAACATTAGAAGATGATTACTTTTGTGTGGAAAGCTAATGAATTATTTTTATGTGTTGCGTTTGAAGTGCCTTTGAGATTTGAGATTTAAATAGGCAGTATAATATATAGGTGTGGTGATCAGGAAAATATCTGGGCTAAAGATATTAATTTGATATGCATTGCTTTATACTTGGTAATAAAAAGTATAAGAATGGATGATATTAGCAAATGATATTATAGAGGGAACATATAGAAAAGATACATGTTATGTATTGAAATGTGTTCCCCAAAAATGTATGTCAACTTGGCTAAGCCATGATTCCCAGTATTGTGCAATTGGCCACCATGGTATTGTGTGATTGTCCACCGTTTTGTCATCAGATAAGGTTTTCCTATGTGTTGTAAATCCTGCCTCTATGATGTTAATGAGGCAGGATTAGAGGCGGTTATGTTAATGAGGTAGGACTCAATCTACAAGATTAGATTTTGTCTTAAATCAATCTTTTTTGAGATATGAAAGAGAGAAGCAAGCAGAGAGACATGGGGACCTCATACCAAGAAACAAAAGCCAGGAGAATAGCGTGTCCTTTGGACCGTGGTCCCTGCTCTGAGAAGCTCCTTGACCAAGGAAGATTGATGGCAAAGACCTTCCCCCAGAGCCTACAGAGGGAGACAGCCTTCCCCCTGGAGCTGGCACCCTGATTTTGGACTTGTAGCCTCCTAGACTGTGAGAGAATAAATTTCTCTTTGTTAAAGCCATCCACTTGTGGTATTTCTGTTATAGCAGCACTATATAACCTAGACAATAGAGAAATCTGAAGTTCCAAAAACAGAAGAAAAGGAGACTATGATGACTGAATATTTGTATTGAAAATTCCGATGAAAACAAAACAAAATATTCATCAAATCTTCTCATTTTCTATAACATTTTATTTCTTCTATCACCTTTTGCACACCTCTGAGAGGCAGCATTACGTATACACATCATAAATGAACACACACACAGCCTTCCAGGACACAAAATCCTCTAGACTTTTCTGTGATATGAACTCAAACTACATTTGGGGTCTGTCAGTAACAAAAATGAAGACTGATTTTCTGCAGAGTGTATTACAGTTCACAAATCCATTGATTTTTATCATCACATTTTTCTGCTTTAATCTCAGATCGAGACACTGTGGCACAGTTCATGCTCCGGGTCCATGCTTGTCTTTGTTTTACTGAAAATCTATAGAAAGAAAGCAAATGGCATCTTTACACTAGTCATGAAAATATACTCATGTACAGAGACTATAGAGGCCTTCAGATAATATATTCTAATTTCAATGAAAATATGATTATTTAAACAGTACACAAAAATATGATGGGTAAAATAATTCTTCCCACTCTGGAGTTTTAGAATGCAAGAGATAGTTAGAATAGAACTTCTGGTTTCCATTATGACATGTAAAGAGCTTGGAAGCTGTCACTTCCATTCACACAAGAAAAAAGCTGAAAACTTAAAATCAACAGCTCTTCTTAGATCCATCAGAGAATTTAGGTCACAGGGCAGGCTACTGATCTGAACAATGTCTGGAGACAAGGGCAGACACAGAAAATTACAGTTTACCAGGAGAAGAAACCACCTCTGGTCCCATCATCAAGTAGGAATACTTAAAGGGTAATTGACTAATTGCTGGAGTCTGAGTGTGGACTGGCTTCAGAGAGTAAAGCTCCTGGAGGCCTAGTCATAGTGGGGTACTCACACGTTTGTGAGTTTTACCACCAGGTTTTTTCTTACTGTGAAGATTGGAGAAAGTCCCCACATGCTTCCAGCAGATAAAGAGAAAAGTAACCACTTTGAAAAATGCCCAGAGCACTCCTCAGTCCTTCTTAACAAGGGTCTACCTTTAAGAGAAACTGTTTTACCACAACCTACCTGATGTGGGTTTTAGAAGAGCCGAACCTATGCAGGGAGCCCTGGAGGTGCAGTGGTTAAGAGCTACAGCTACTAACTAAAAGTTCGGCAGTTCGAACCCACCAGCTGCTCCTTGGAAACCCTATGGGGCAGTTCTATTCTGTTCAATACTGTCACTATGACTCAGACTTGACTTGAGGGCAACAGTTCTGTTTTTTTTTGGTTTGAATCTATGAAGGGGAAGTGAAATACTCAACTCCAAACCCTCTAGCTTTTGATGCAGGTGAAGGGAAAATACCCAACTCCATCCCCCTCTAGTCTTGAATGTGGAGGAAGATAAATATCTAACTTCAGCCTCTCTAGTCTTCCTGTCTCGCTTAGGGGGTAAAAAAAAAAAAAAAAAGAAAGAAAATCTGAGAAGCACTTTGAAGTTTTCAGTCTGGAAACACATATTCACTAAAAGACTGAGACCTAATTATAGGTTCATAGAACACTTCCCCACGCCCCACATCTTACGATCATATCAATAAGACTTCTGTATAATAACAGGAGATTACAGATGAAGAGAACTACAAGGCTCTATCTAAGGAGTCTTTAGAGAAACCCCAAAACAAGAGGGGAAGCAAAAACAAGGACACCAAAGCAAATTTTAATCTGACACCTACAGCTACAGCAAACAGTAAACAAAGCCTAACTCCTTGCCAGATAAACATGAAACCTCATACCTATTTACCTCAGTTCTTTTTACCCAATACATCATGTTTAGCTTTCAACACAAATTTCAAGGCATGCTAAAGGCAAGAAAAAACACAGCCTGAAGAGACAAAACAAGCAACAGAATGAGACTCAGATATGGTGAAGATTTTGGAATGATCAGATTGGGAATTTAAAATAACTATGATTAATATGCAAAGAGTTCTAGTGGAAAAAGTGGACAACATGCAAGAACAGATGGGTAATATAAGCAGAGAAATTGAAACTCTAAGAAAAAATTAAAAGGAAATGTTAGAAATCAAAAACACTGTAACAGAAATGAAGAATGCCTTTGACAGACTCATCAGCAAAGTGAACAGAGCCAAGGAAAGAGCTAGTGATCTTGAAGATGTGTCAATAGAAACTTCTCAAACTGAAAAACAAAGAGAAAAAAAAAAAGAATGAAAAAATTGGAACAGAATATGTAAGAACTGTTGGACAATTACAAAATGTGTAACATACATGTAATGGGAATATCAGAAAGAGAAGAAAGAGAGAAGGAAATAGAAGAAATTTTTGAAGTAATAATGACTGAAAAATTTCCAAATTTAATGACAGATACCAAAACCATAGATCCAGAAAACTCAGAGAATGCCAAGCAGGACAAATACCAAAACATTTACGCCTAGTTATATTGATTTCAAACAGCAGAAAATCAAAGACAAAGAAACAATCTTGAAAGAAGCAAAAGGAAAGGAACATCTTGCCTACAGAGGCATATAAGGTTGCTATGAGTTGGAATTGACTCGATGGCAATGGGTTGTTTTTTTTTATAGAGGTGTAAGGATAAGAATTACATTGAATTTCTTTTCCAATTGAAAGAAGAGAGCAGAGTGAAATATTTAAAGTGTTGAAAGAATAGTTAATGAGTATTAGAGATGAATGGATTAAAAAAAAAAGTTGTCGGGTCGATTCTGACTCATAGAGACACTATAGGACAGAGTAGAACTGCCCCACAGGGTTTTCAAAGTTGTAATATTTAAGGAAGTAGACTGCCACATCTTTCTCCCACAGAGCAGCTGGTGGGTTCAAACCTCCGACATAAGGGTTAGCAGCCAAATGCTTAACTATTATGTCACCAGGGCTCCTAGAGATGCAGATGGGTAATTCTAAAATATCACCTGTCATTTTTTTTAATCTATAAAATTATTGATCACTGTTATAAGTGAGCAGAAACTTGTTTAATTTTGTGGACTAAAATGCTGTTCTTATAAGAGATTTTACACTTAACAATTTACCTCAGAAAAAATAATAAAGTGAAAACACATCAGTGGCAAACACTGTGTCAAGATATATCTCCGGAGTGGATGGAGTGAGATTTCTTTACTTTCCCAATTTTCTTTGTAGCCCATTTTTTATTAGTTATTCTGATATTGTAAGAGCCAGTCAGGAAATTTACACCTGTTTACTCAGTTTATGCCCTTTCTTGTCACATAAAAGGGGATCAAAACCACATAAAAAGCAAAAATAAAACAAACTCACATATTTTCGTTAAATGAGCTGTTGTCCACCCAGATCCATGAATTCCCTCCAGATGGATATGTCAAGCCAATCCAATAAGAGATTGAACTTTTTAAGTGCCTCCATAGGAAACTCTAAAGAGAACAGTAAATGATATATGAAACAACTGACAGACTCTTATTGTTACAATAAAAATACCTTGAGAGTACCTTGTATGTGTTGACACTATGCTTGGAGCTGGTAATAAACAGGTAAGTCATACTTTATGTCTTCTGATAAATCATAGCAGAGGGGAGTCAATATGTAAACAAACAAGTGTAATACAATGTGAAGACTGTTAAAATAGAATTAGGTATAGTAGTAGTCATGGGAGAAAGATGTGTCAGTCTACATTTGTAAAGATTAAAGCCTTGGAAACACTATGGGGCAGTTCTACTCTGTCCTATAGGGTTTCTGTGAGTCAGAATTGACTTGATGACACCACCACCAACATAGTAGTAATAGATACTTACTCTGTGAAGTCAGATTACCTAATCTGAGTCCTAGCTATACGTGTCCTTGGATGAGTTATTAAATCTTTTTACTTTTGATTTTTTCAGTCTCTAAAAGTACCTGTCTCAAAGAATTGTTATTGTTTTGTTATTAAAATATATTATGAAATACTGCCTGGCACATAATAAGTTCTTAGTACATAGATGTTACCATTATTATTAAATACAAGTATCAAATACTACATAGTTGCAAGATAATATATGGGAAATATTAAAGAAAGCCCTGTGTGAGCTGATGTGGCAAATATTGCTTATTGTTTCTTAATATATCCTTTTTCTTTTTCTATATTAATGCAATCTGTGTCAAAATATATGGCCAGTCATAACACATACTACATTTCTCAGCCTCCCTTTTGGCTAGATGTGGCCATGTGACCTGAAATCCAGAATACGAACAGAAGTGATACTCAAATCCTGAATCATGCACTTAAATGGTAGGGCTATATCCTTTTATTCATCATTTTTCTTCTTTCTTTCTGGCTAGAATGTGGACATGGTCCCGACTATACAGGACTAGGTAGACAGGACAGAACCGTACTGATGAGGGTGATGAGCAGAAACTCCATAGCAGTATAGACTATTATGTGAGAGAGATAACCTATTAAAGAGATTGTAAGATCTTTTTCCCTCCATTTAGCACTTTGATATTGGAAACGTCTTACAACCAATGACTTTCAGTAGTTTAATTGGCAGCTTTATCTTCCCTTTCTAAATGATACATAACACTGTCACACCTTGTAATTGAAAAGTGTCTTTGATTCAATGAAAAAAGTGAACATCTATCTTGTGTAAGCTACAATAATGTTGGCTCTCTGTCACACGCAGCTGAACTGTCACACCTTGTAATTGAAAAGTGTCTGATTCAATGAAAAAAGTGAACATCTATCTTGTGTAAGCTACAATAAAGTTGGTTCTCTGTCCCATGCAGCTGAACTATCACACCTTATAATTGAAAAGTGTCTTTGATTCAATGAAAAAAGTGAACATCTATCTTGTGTAAGCTACAATAATGTTGGTTCTTTGCCGCATGCAGCTGAACTTATGCTGTTTGTTGGAAAATAAATAGCCATTAGGCAAGCAAGGGACAGAATACTGTTTCTTCATTGAATTGCCTTTCCACTATTGTCAAAACTCAGTTGACTACATTTGTGTCGGTCTACTTCTGGCCTCTCTGTTCTGTTCTTTCACTGATTTATGTACCTCTCCTTTCACCAATTCTCGTCATCTTGATTAATTTAGCTTTACTCTAAGACTTGAAATTGTGTAGTTTCAGCCTTCCAGTATTTTCTTTTTTTGTGAATTATATTGACTATTCAAGTTTCATTGCCTTTCTGTATAAATTTTAGAGTCAGCTTGTCAATATGTATAAAAATCCACGCTGGGGTTTTGATTGGGATTGTGTTGAATCTATAGATGAATTTGTGGAGATTTGACATTTTAACAGTTCATGTTCATAATATATTTCTACATTTATTTAGGTCTTCTTTGTTATATGTCATTAATGTTTTGCAGTTTTCGGTATACAAATTCTGAACACATTTTGTTAGATTTACTTAAATATTTAATTTCAGTGCCATTATAAATGTTATCATTTTAATTATGATTTCCAAAGTTCATTGCTAATATACAGAAATACAATTGATTTTTCTTATGTTGACTCTGCATGCTACAACCTTGCTAAGCTCATTTGCTTTAGGGGATATTTTGCACCACTGAGTATGATATTAGTTGTAGATTTTTTTTAGATGCCTTTTATTCGGTTAAGGAAGTTCCCTTCTGTTCCTAATATTCTGAAGGTTTTTTGGGTTTTCTTTGGTCATGAATCAGTGCTGATTTTTCTTAAATTATTTTTCTGCATCTCCTTAGATGATCTTATTTAGCCTATTATTATGCATTACACTGATTGATTTTATAATGCTGAACTAACTTGGTCAGGATGTAAGTTTTTTGAACTAAATGAAAATGCTAAATTTTCATATATTGCTAAACTCATATATTGCTGTTCTCAACTTACGAACATTTTGTTGCAGATATTTGCATCTATGTTTATGAGGGATATGGATCTGTAATTTCCATTTTTTGTAATGTATTTGCCTGATTTTAGTATTAAGATCATTCTGGCCTCATAAAATGATTTGGGAAGTGTTTTTCATCGTCTGTTTTCTGGAAGAGATTGTGTAGAATTGGCATTACATTTTAATGCTCAATACAATTCATCAGTGGAACCATCCAAAAGTGAAGTATTTTTGGGGAGATTAACTAAAAATTCAATTTCTTTAATAAAGTATTATTCAGGCTATTTCTTCTCATGTTCTCTTTGGTAGTTTGAGTCTTTAAAAGAATTTGTCCATTTAATCTATGTTTTTCAAATTTATGGACATAGTTTTTTTTTCATACTATCGTATTAATTTTTGAAAGACTTTGGTGATAGCATGTCTTTTGCCCTGATCCTGGTAATTTGTTTTCTTCCTTTTTTGTTGATTGATCTGTTAAGAGCTTCATCAATTTTATTAATTTTAGTTTGGTTTATGTTTATTTTCATTGCTTTCTTCTGTGTTTTTCTGTTTTCAATTTTCTTGATTTCTGCTCTTTATTATTTTCATTCTTCTGCTTGATTTGGGTTTAATTAGCTCTTATTTTTCTAGTTTATTTTCAAGGTAGAGGCTTAAATGATTGATTCTACATTGTTCTTCTTTTCTAATATAAGCATCCAGTGCTATAAATTTCCCTCCCAACTCTGCTTAAGCTGAAACCCATTAATTTGGTATGTTGTATTTTTGTTTTCATTCAGTTCAAAAGTTTTTACATTTTCTCTAAAACTTCCTCTGTGACTCGTGTTATTTAGAAGTATGTTGCTTAATTTCCAAATATTTAGGTATTTATCCAATATCATTCTATTCTTAAGTTCTGGTTTAATTTTATTGTGATCTGATACATACTTTGTATAATATGTATATTTGTAATTTTTCTGAGGTTTTTACATGTCCCAAAATATGATCTGTCTTTGTTAAATTTCCATGTGCACTTGAAAAGAAAATATATTCTGCTCTAGCTGGATGAAGTTTTATACAATGTCAATTAGATCTAGTTGGTTGATAGTCTTGTTCAGGTCTTCTATAGCATTACTGATTTTTGTCTACTTGTTCTATCAATTACTATAGAGGAGTGTTGATATCTCCAACTATAATTGTGGGTTTGTCTATTTCTCCTTTCAGTTCTATCAGTGTTTGCCTCACCTGTAATTTGAAGCTCTCAATTTGGTGCATACACACTTAGAATTTATATCTTTATCACCATGTAATATCACTTCTTGTGCTTGTTAATATTCCATGTTCTGAAATGTACTTTTTCTGATAGTAATATAGCTACTCCAACTTTCTTTTGTTCAGTATTTGCATGGTATATCTTTCTCCATCCTTTTAAATTTAACTTATATCCTTATCTTTAAAATTAATTACTTGTAGATAACATAGAACTCACTCTCTTTTTTAAATCTAATCTGACAATCTCTGACATTTACTTTAACATACGATATAGTATTACTATTTTATTTAAACACTTAGTTATCTTTTAGAGCTATAAAAATAAGAAAGAGTGAATTTTATTTTACACTTATTTATTCCATTTCCATCACTTTCCTTTGTGTAAATCCAAGTCTCAGTTAGCCTTATTCCTGAAGAACTTTCTATACTATTACTGGCATGGTAGAACTGCTGTCAATGAATTCCCTAAATTTTCTTCATCTCAAAAAGTCCTTATTTGTCCTTAATTTATGTAAGATATTTTCACTGAGTATAGAATTCTGTGTTGAAAGGTTTTTTGTTTTTTTTTTTTTCTTTTAACACTTTAAAGATGTCATTCCATGGTCTCCTGCTCATTTGTTCTTGATGGAAAGTGTCTTGTAATTTTGTCCCACTGTCTGGAATGTTTCTTTTGTCTCTGATTGTCTTCAAGATTTTTGCATTGTCTTTTGTTTGTAGCAATTTTAAATGATACTTGTAGTGTTTTTTTTTTTTTTTTAAAAAATTATTCTGTTTGGTGTTCCCTGAGATACTTGAAACTGGTTTGATGTCTGTCATTAATTTTTAAAAATTCTCAAACATTTTTTATTACTTCTTCAGATGTCTGTTCTGCCTCATTCTCTTTCTTTCTCTCACACTCCTGTAATTTGAATTTTACATATGTTAGACTATTTGATAGTGTTCTATAGATTTTGGTTGTTCTTTTTTTTTTTTCCTGTTTTGTTTCAATTTGAGTAATTTCTACTGACCTATCAAAATGCCCACTGAGTCTCTGCTCAGCTTTATCAAGACTACTGATGGACTGTCAAAGGCATTTTTCACCTCTGTTATTGTATTTTTCATTTCTAACATTTTCATTTGATGCTTTCTTATATTTCCTATTTTTCTGCTAAAAGTATTCATCCGATTTTACATGTTGTCCATCTTTTCCATTAATGACTTTAATGTATTTATCATAGTTATTTTAAAGTCCCTGTCATAGAAGTCCAGCATTGGTCATATACGAGTTTAACTCTGATGACTGTTTCTTGGGAATGTCTTTTGTTTTTTTTCTTGTGTTTTTGTATGTCTCATAATTGTTTATTGAAAGCCGTACATCTTTCTTAGAACAGTATAAAAAACCAAAAACCAAACCCATTGCCATCGAATTGATTCTGACTCAGCAACCCAATAGGACAGACCCTGAGTATCTTAGTTTTTCCCCTGCACTGTGCCTCAGAGAGAGTCTCTTTGTACATTCTTATTCTCTCCTATCCCTCTCCCACCAGTATTCTTCCTTACTTCTTACTTAAAACTTGTTATTTTACTAGTAGGGGTAGTGGAGGAGCAGTCTCTGTTGTTCCAATTATGCTTCCATCTTAGGAGGCACTGAGTCCCTGTGTCTGGATTGTCTATCTTCACCACTGCTGCCACACTCTGGCTGTAGTCGTGGGCATTCCTGTATTCATGAAGTAGTAGACTTTTATTCATGACTTCTTTTTCTATCTGCAATAATGTTTTTACCAATTCCCTAAGGGCAGAAGTATTTGTTGACCTCCTACCCTACGTGCACTTTAAAGCTTTTGTTCCATAGGGCAGATAGCAGATAGGAGAGAAGAATTTGCTACCTCCACATTACTATTATTTCCTTCTCGCAGGACTGCACCATAGTGAACACTTTCTTCTGGTTCTTCCCTTTTTTTTTTTTTTCTGTGAGCTCCTGGTGAGGTTTGTAGAGAAAGGGTATGGACTTCCCCATTTCTGCAGATCCTGTTCTACCACTCTGCTCTCAGCCTTTTTCAGTTTTTTAATATTCTGGCTTAACTATTCTTACTGGTGTCTGATTTGTCGACCTCAGGTAAGAGAGGATGTGTCTCCTCTCTTCCTGAAGATGCCTGTTTGGCCTCTTGGTTACTCTGCAATTTTGACTTTCCAATGAGCTTGAAAAAAAAATTGTGAATTTGAAGTTATTCCAGCTATTTTTCATTGTAAAAGTACAAACAACATTACTTTGAGATTTTTACATCATGAGTAAAAGCCATAAATCTCCCTTTTTAAACATATAGCTCATTACTCTCTTCTTCTTCTCCTGTTCTGTCTCCTCTTTTTTCTTCTTATCCTGTCATGTAATAACACCTGGGTGTCTTAGATGGATTAATAATTCTTTTGTTTTTTTTTCCCCATTATATCTTTAACTTATTTGAGATCTTCAGAAGTATACGCCAGAAAATTATTTTCTATTTCTTTTGCAATATATATTTTATCTGTCCTTAAGTGTCAATTTTTTGGAGGGATTTGAAAATGGTGAAACCTATGCATAAGTTATGCTGATTAATTTTAGATTCTTATTTCTCATTGAAAGAGAACAATTATGTCTGGTGCAACTAGCTGGTTAAGAATAATGTGAAGAGGTGTAACCTAAAATGAAGGAAGTAAGTTTCCATTGAATATGTTGTTTCACACTACTCTTATCCAAAATCTGATTTATTGTTTGCCCTGGAGACATATTGTCGTAGTTATCTAATGCTGCTGTAACAGAAATACCATAAAGGGATGGCTTTAACAAGGAGAAATTTATTTTCTCACAGTCTAGGAGGCTAGAAATCTGAATTCAGGATGTCAGCTCCAGGGGAAGGCTTTCTCTCTCTGTCGGCACTAGGGGAGGGTCCTTGTCTTCAATTTTCCCCTGGTCTAGGAGATTCTCAGGTGCGGGGACTCTGGGTCCAAAGGACACGCTCTGTTCTTGGCCCTGCTTTCTTGGTGGTATGAGGTCCCCATGTATCTCTGCTCACTTCTCTCTTTTCTATCTCCAAAGAGATTGATTTAAGACATAACCTAATCTAGTAGATTGAGGCCTGCCTCAGTAACATAGCTACCTCTAATCCTGCCTCATTAACATATAGAGGCAGGATTTATAACACAGGAAAATCACATCAGATGACAAAATGGTGGACAATCACACAATACTAGGAATCATGGCGTAGCCAAGTTGACAGTATTGTGGGGGAACACAATTCAATCCATGACAGATGCTGTTGTTGTTAGGTGCTGTCGAGTTGGTTCTGACTTATAGTGACCCTACGTACAACAGAATGAAACACTGCCCGGTCCTGCACCATTCTCACCATCGTTGTTATGCTTGAGCCCATTGTTGCAGCCACTGTGTTAATCCATCTTGTCGAAGGTCTTTCTCTTTTTTGCTGACCTTCTACTTTACCAAGCATAATGTCCTTCTCCAGGGACTGATCCCTCCAGATAACATGTCCAAAGTATGTGAGACGTAGTCTCACCATCCTTGCTTCTAAGGAGCATTCTGGCTGGATTTTTTCCAAAACAGATTTGTTAGTTCATGATATATTCAATATTTTTCTCCAGCACCATAATTCAAAGGCATCAATTCTTCTTTGGTCTTCCTTATTCATTGTCCAGCTTTCACATGCATATGAGGCAATTGGAAACACCATGGTGTGGGTCAGGTGCACTTTAGTCTTCAAGGTAATATCTTTGTTTTTTTTTTAACACTTTAAAGAGGTCTTTCGCAGCAGATTTGCCCAATGCAATGTGTCGTTTGATTTTTTGGCTGCTGCTTTTATGGGTGTTAATTATGGATCCAGGCAAAAAGAAATCCTTGACAACTTCTGTCTTTTCTCTGTTTATCATGATGTTGCTTATTGGCCCAGTTGTGAGGATTTTTGTTTTCTTTATGTTGAGGTGTAATCCATACTGAAGGCTGTGGACTTTCATCTTCATCAGTAAGTGCTTCAAGTTGTCTTCACTTTCAGCAAGCAAGGTTGTGTCATCTGCATATCGAAGGCTGTTAATGAGTCTTCCTTCAATCTTGATGCCCCATTCTTCTTCATAGAGTCCAGCCTCTGGGATTATTTAATCAGCATACAGATTGAATAAGTATGGTGAAAGGATACAACCCTGACACACCTTTCCTAAATTTAAACCACACAGTATCCCCTTGTCATGTTTGGACAACTGCCTCTTGATCTATGTTCAAGTTCCTTATGAGCAAAATTAAGTGTTCTGGGATTCCCATTCTTCACAATGTTATCCATAATTTGTTATGATCTACACAGTTGAATGCCTTTGCATACTCAATAAAACACAGGTAAACATATTCCTGGTATTCTCTGCTTTCAGCCAGGATCCATCTGACATCAGCAATGATCTCCCTAGTTCCACGTCCTCTTCTGAATCTGGCTTGAATTTCTGGCAGTTTCCTGTTGATATGTTGCTGCAGCCGCTTTTGAATAATCTTTAGCAAAATTTTACTTTCATGTGATATTAATGATATTGTTTGATAATTTCCGTATTCAGTTGGATCACCTTTCTTTGGAATGGGCATAAATATGAATCTCTTCCAGTCGGCTAGCCACGTAGCTGTCTTCCAAATTTTTTGGCATAGACGTGAGCACCTCTAGTGCTGCACCTGTTTGTTGAAACATCTCAATTGGTATTCTGTCAATTCCTCAAGTCTTGTTTTCTGCCAGTGCTTTCAGTGCAGGTTGGACCTCTTCCTTCAGTACCATCAGTTCCTGATCATATGCTACCTCCTGAAATGGTTGAATGTCAACCAATTTTTTTTTTTTTGTATAGTGACTCTGTATATTCCTTCCATCTTCTTTTGATGCTTCCTGCATTGTTTAATATTTTGCATGTAGAATCCTTCAATATTGCAACTTGAGGCTTGAATGTTTTCCTTCAGTTCTTTTAGCTTGAGAAATGCTGAGCATGTTCTTCAGCTATGATACGTATCTTCTGTGAATTTCAGCATTCCTTCCTTTGAGGGCGAGTAAGAAGTACATGAATTCCTGGTGAAGCCTTACATCGTGTAGTTTCACTATGAGATGATTTATTGTTTATTCCTTTTAGAACATTCTTGTTAGAAGCTTTGCAGTTTTTTCCTGCTTTGCTCTTCTTGACCATTAAAATTGACCTCCGAAAGGAGAGGAAATGTCTCTTTCGTCTCTTAAATCCATTCTGGATTTGGTTCATATTTCTATGCATCTGACAGCCTTACAGTTTGACATTTGAGGTTATTGACATTTCCTGGTTACCATGAAGATAGCTTACATTTCCTTTTCTTTTTCTTCTTGTTCTTGTGGGTTTCTGTGAAACTCTGAGGTTTCTCCCACAGAAGTCTCAACAGCTGCACTTTTGTAATTTGTTCAGGTGGCTGATGTTCAACCAGGATTTTAAAGCACTGAAAGTCATAGGATTTAGAGAAACTAAGCCTTTGATATAACTTGTAGTTCTAATTGAGAATCCTTATTTGATGTTTACCAATTAACATTTGTATTTATCTTATTAATTAAAAGGCTGAAAATAGCGTTTAACTTTCATGCAGTAAAACTTTTATTTAAAATAATCCAGAGTAAGTTAAATATTATTTATCCTCAAGGAAGAACTGAATCTAAGTGAGAAGGACTACAAAGCCATCCTTAACTTCAGTTGTCATGATATCTGACTGCAGCCTTTGTGAGTATTGCAGTAAATATGGAAGATGAGATGTTTAATCCCTTCCATCTTAGAAAGAAATCTGGTAAGCAGCAAGGATCCACTGTGGAGATAAATTTAGGTGTATAACACAAAATGAACTTCCCCTTCCCCTAATCAAAGAGAAGCCTAAAATGACCATGCAGTTCATTAATTCATTCAAATATATGTATTTATGAACAGATATGGTTTTACAACTTTTTTCACTGACATTTGCCAAATTTGTAGCACAAGGAATCCAATTGCAAATGTGGGAAATGCTTATAATCACCAAGTTTAATATCTCACCATATCAATGACATCTTGAATCACAAAGAGATGTGAATTTTTCATGGCACAGTCATCTTGACTTTTGCTCCAAGACTGCGTATTTTTAGCAATCCAATAACATTTCCCGCCATGTGATATCCAGTCTTTGGAGGGGCATAATTGATGGACAATGGAAGAATTGGAAGAAGCTGGGAGGAGAAAAGGTAAGTAATTAAAAGAAACTCAAAACTGTATCCTTGATAATGTATGCTGACTAAAAGCACTCAAAATTTGTTAAAACTATGCTTTAAGCTTTATTTGACAAAGTATATGCTTTTCTCCATAGGGGATTTGGAAAAAATAGAGATCAATGGAATTGTAATCACATGTCTGTTATTTTTCTTTCTTTCTGTCTCTCTTTCTCTTTCTCTCTCTCTCTTCCTCCCTCTCTCTCTTTCTTTTTCTCTCTGTCTTTTTTCTTATAAATACATCATGCTCCCATCAGTTAAACAATGTACCAGTCACTAGTATTAAAACAATAAACATTTAATCCTTAGGGTGCTCAAAATTTAAAGGAAAAGTAGACATTAGGGATTTTAATTTGTGCTCCACCAAAGCACCAGCAATTTTGGGGAGTTATGTATCACAGAAAAACAGTTTTTCTTGGGCAAAATTTGTGCAGTAAATGGATCCCAAAACTCAGATAGGTTGATCTCTCTATAGACAAAAAGATGCTGACATGCAAAAAGTTGTTGATAACAGGTAATTCTAATTTATAGTACAGTCATGTGTCACATAACGTCCATTCAGGCAACGTCTGACCACATATACACCCATGGTTCCATAAGGCTAGAATAAAGTTCAGAAAATCTGATCAGAGTAATAATACAGTAATAATAATAATGTTTTGATGAATATCACAAAGTAGCACCCATTTGTTATTACGAACCATTGCATGTACCTTGAATTTTTAATATAACAGGCTCTACAGGGGTTGGCTCATATTTACGGGTTGTATGTTAAGTCAGACATTCATAACCCAGAGATTGCCTGTATATAATATCCTGTTCACACAACGTTCAAATCACATAACATCCTATTTCACAGAATGTATTGTGGATGTTTAGCAACACATGACTGTATTTGCCAGAAGATTAAGATGATGACACATGGCTATCCTAGGTGGACCAATAATTTAGTGCCCCCCGAAATAATACCAAGTATAATAGTTAAGGTTATGTGTCAGCTTGGTTAGGCCATGATTCTCTGTGGTCTGGCAGATGTTATGTAATCATCTTCCATTTTGTGATCTGATGTGAGCAGCCAATCAGTTGAAAGGGGAGTCCTTGGGGTGTGGACTGTATCCAGTATATATGGATGTTCTCACAAAGCTCACCCTCTCTCGATCCTGCATCTGATTCATCATCCTCTGATCTCTGGTCCTTGAGATGTGAGCCAGCAGCCTGCCATCTGACCTGCAGATTGTGGGATAGGCCAGCACCGGCAACCCCGTGAGCCAGCAGCCTTCTGTCTGACCTGCTGATTTTGGGTTCATCAACCCCTGCAATCATGTGAGTCTGGAAAAGCCTCCAGCCTGATGCCTGACTCACAGGTTTGGAACTTGCCAGCCTTCACAGCTGCATGAGCAGTTTTGTTGAAATAAATCTCTTTATATATATTTATACATATCCTTCACAGTCTTTGCTCTTCTAGAGAACCCAGCCTAAGATATCAATATAAATTATAGTCTATAATTAGCAATCTGGATCTACATAGCTCAGAAACTTTATGGCATACAAGTATGCCAGGGTACACTTTTGGGAAAACTCTTTTTCGAATGACACTTACAAGACACTTAATTAAATCCTAAAATAGTTAGACCAAAAAATTAAATTAGCTTGTAAGAAATTTAAGAGAAATTGCCAAAGGGTTGAGGGCACTTAGCTGAAAGTGGAATGAAGAGCAGTGATTGGGCAGATGAATTAAGAAGTCAAGGCTGTAATTATTTCAATGAAAAACTTAATTTAAAACTCACTATATAAGGTAATTTTTTCTTGAACCATTGAACATTTTTGTCATGGACTATAATGGGTCCATGGAAAACAATGATCCAAACTATCCCTCTGTAGGGGTAGAGTAGTCTTTATTGTATTCAGATGTACTCAAAACCAATGCTGCTGTCCATGCCTGGCTACTCAGGAGTTAGGCAATACAGAATAATCTTACCCGTTGAGATGATTATTTTAGAGCTGTTTTTTGCAGTACTGTTTTTCTTTACTGACTCATTATTCACTTCATTATGTCTTGCATAGTTGAACTGGATAACTAATGAAAGAATAAACATATTTTCCTAGTTAAATTCAAAGCACATACTGCTGGGTCCTAGTGACTCTTTGAAGTTCAGTAATGTGGAAATTCCATAATAAGTTAAATGATTAAAAGTTTAGGAGGAAAACAACTTTATTTGTCCCAAGATTTATAGTTTCCTTTTTACTCTTATTAATCTTATTCTTGATAACTAGGAGAACTGGAAAAATATATAACCCAGGAGCCAAGGAATACTCATTGTTTTTTTCCTAGAGTTTTCATATTTATTTTAAAAGGCGCAGGATAGCCAGCTCAGGATATGAGCCTTATTTCATAGTTTGTGTTTATTGAGTTCCTGTTACCTATATCAGGTGCCACACGCTTTACGGAAAGCATTTTTATTGTGTGTTGGTTTGGGTTCATAATTCTGATTCTATGTGTAAATTCTACATATATAAGTGTGGGGTTAGCCCAGAGAAGTTTTTCTATAAAGGAGATATTTGTCTTTCTGATGGCTATTTAATTGGAACTACATTTGGTAATTTATAACCTCATGCTTGTGTGTATCAGGCAGTTAGTATTGGCCATTGTGATGGTTAAGGTCGTGTGCCAGCTTGGCTGGGCCATGATTCTCAGTGGTTCAGCAGTTATGATGTAGTTTGGCAATTATGCAATGATGTAATAACCTCCATGAGATTTGATATAATGTAATCATCTCCATGATGAGATCCGCTATGAGCAGAGCAGCCAATCAGTTGAAAGGGAGTTTCCTTGTGGGTGTGGCCTACATCCAATATATATAGCCTTTCTGGCAAAGTTCACTGGCTTTTGCTCACTCTGAATCCTGCATCCAGCTCATCATCATCAGAACTCTGGTTCTTGGAACTTGAGCCAGAAGCTTACCCTTTTACCCACTGATCTTGGATTTGTCAGCCTCTGCAGCCTGTTAGCAGCCTGCCATCTGACCCGCTGATCTTGGATTCATCAGCCCCTGTAGCTACATGAGTCAGGTGAAGCCTCCAGCCTAATGCCTGCCTATGGACTTGGGAGTTTCTAGCTTCTACAACCATGTGAGCCTTTCCTTGATATAAATCTCTCTCTCTCTCTCTCTCTCTCT